ACTATTAATAAAATAAGATACTAAAGTACTTTTACCTTTTATTAATTTTTTAACTACTTATAGTAATACTTAACTATAGACTTTAAAAGTATATTAAAAGATAAGTTTAAGTATAATTCTATACTTATTATAATAAACTATTTCTCTAAAAAAAAAAATATTAATCTTCTACTTTTTTATACATATAATTTATAACTTAGCGTAGTTATTTATTTTTAACTATTAGAAGTTTAATAGACCTTTGGAAATAATAATATTAAATAAAAGCTTATAGTTTATTTTCTCTTTTTAAAATAAGTTCTACTAGATCTTTAGTATTAAAGTTAAACTCTTTATTATTTATTACGCTTAGATAAATAATTAAACAGAGATTATAAACTAATACTTAGATTAATACCTTTAGCTTTTTATTAACTATTACTAAAATAATTAGTCTAAGCTCCTATGATATAAGAACAGCTATCTGCTTTCGATCTATACCTAATTAGGTTTTGTAGCTTTATATCGCTTAAGAGAGTACTTCTCTTATTTCTTTTATATATAATTTCAAAAATAAATAATAATTGATTTAATTACTTAAAGAGCCTTTAATACTATTGCGTATAGCAGCTCTTACTAATAATAAATTATACTTAGTTAACTTTATTATATAGGTCTTTAGAAATATCTTCGTACTAGTTAAAATAGAAGTATAAGCTAAAAATAAGTTAAGATAAAAATAAGCTCTAACTAAAGGCCGAGTAAATAATTACTAAGAAGTTAAATATTATTAATATATAAGTATTCACTTATAATTATAAGTAGGTCTAAAGGAAAGCTTAAGAGTTCTTTTATAACTAATAAGGAAAAAAGTAATAAGATATAAATAAGTTATATTAAGAAGTCGATTAAAAGTTAAGTAATTCTATATAAGTTATAATAAGAAATTAGAAAATATATTACTTAAAGAAGAAACTAGATAATTAGTAAATAAGCTTATTTATGTAAAGGTAGTGGTAACCACTTCTTTACTATACCTGATTAGGAAGAGTCTAGAGCTCGGTAAAGCTCGGTAAGACTCGGTGGAGCTCGGTTAACTCTGAAGGGGTTTACTGACAGTTACCCACTTAGTTATACGTAAAGGGAAATAGCTCTACGCTACTACAGGAGTTTACGTTAAGTTTTACGTTAAATATAATTAGTCCTAATCGGGAATAGCCCGGGGAATTTGTCTATATAGGCTCGAGCGCCCTCCACGGAATCGAGGGCTCCTTAGCTTGATATTCGCGCTAATAGAGAGGTTATCACCTGATCCGTGGTTATTTCGCTCACGTGCTAGCTAATGCTAAACCGTGCTATTATAATTTAAAGTCTTTAATAAAGAAGGTTATTTATTTTATTTAGATTTCCTTACTTTAATTAATATCTATCTTATTTTCTCTATAGATAAACTTTAGTAATATAATATTAACTCGCTTTTTAAATAAGTACTTTCAAAATAAAAACTTATTTAAATAAACGTAGAATAAAAGTAAGAAGTCTAAAATATCTTAAAAGTATATCTTAAGTAAGATAAAACCCTATAGTACTAAGTTAAATAAAAAGGATTAAATCTTAATCTTAAATTCTACTTTACTAGAGACTTTATAACTTATCTATATAAACTTCGAGATTTCTATTAAGTTTACCTTATAAAACTAAGACTTTTTAAGTTACTTTATAAATAGTTAACTATATAAGAAGTAAAAAATAATAATATATATAATAAACTAGTAGATAATACTATAATATTTAAAGTAAATTATAATAAATTTTTTTATAGTTTAAAGATAAGTCTTCCTTAAAGAGAAGAATAATATAATAGACTAATTATAATAAGCTAATCACGTAAGTAAAGCTAATATTATAAGGCTATAAAGCTAGAGTTATATAGCGAACTTAAGATTAGCTTAGTTTATTAATAGTTATATTTCTTTTATTTATTCTTAAGGCTTTTTAAAAACCTCCTTTTCTTATTATCTTTTCTACTTTATATTATAGCTACTAATAAATATTTATTATATTATTATATATACTATATTCTATATATTCTATATATTCTATATATTCTATATATTCTATATATTCTATATATTCTATATATTCTTTTAAAGGGTAAAAGGGAGGTGTCCTATATATACATAAGATATAGTCTATGTACGATCACGTGACTCGGAACGTAACAGCTATTATACTAACACTTTATTTCCTTATATTATATTTATATTTTCTATTTTATTTCTTTTATAGTTATTAAAAACCTTTTGTTTTTAAAAGAAGTTTTACTAGTATTAGTCTATAGACTTATATTATAGAGATATAAGAGGTAATTAAAAGAGATAAATAATCTTAGTTAAAGGATAACCCTCTTTTAAAGGCTAATTAAGGGCTATTTAGGAAGTAGTATATATTCTAACCTTTAAATACTTTTTATAATATATATTTGTAAATGTCTTTAAACTAAACCTTTAATTTTAATATATATTAATATATACTTCTTATTTATTTACTAGTATAATACTAATAGTAAGCTTAAGTAGAAGGTAATTAAAAGGTAAGTAGTAATCAGATTATAAGATTTCAGTTTAAGATAAGATATCTAGGTAGTAATATATATATCGTTTAAGATTGTCTTAAAATAAAGAAACTATTCTAAGGCGGTCTGAGGAACCTTTTTTAGACTAGAGACTGTTCTTAGAAAAATCTATCCTAGGAGCGTTAGGAGATAATCCATTTGCCCCTACCTTTACCTCTAAGGTACCTTAGAGGTAAACGTAAAGGTAAAAGAATAATCCTAGGATTATCTATAGATAGTTCTTTTTTAAAAAGCATTCTCTTTTATAAATATTCCTTGGATTATCTTAAAATAGTTATTTCTTAAGAATACTTCTTATTTCTACTTTTAAAGTAAGAGCTTTTTTATTTATTTTAAATAAGGGAATAACAGTTGATTTCTCTTTACTTTAATTAAATACTTAGTACCTCTTATATAAGATTAACTCTTACTTTTAGTTTTTAAAAGTAGTAAAATTAATCGATTTAAGAAAAGTTCACTTTATAAAGTTAATATATAAAGTATAAGTAGATATAGTTTAAGAGAGGTTCTCTGATTAATAAAAATTCCACTAAGTGCAAGGCACCTAAGTAGTAATTTTAAATCGTCTTAAATCGTCCTTAAGTAAAAAACCGTCCTAAGGTAATCTCAAGACTATATTCTTAGTAAAAACTGTTCTTATAAGGAACTGTCCTAGAATCGTCTAGGGACGGTTCACTTGCCCCTGCATTTTCCTCTAAGGTAGGAAGATGAAGAGCCGAGGCGCGACGTAAATCCAACCAGTCTCAGTGCTATAGCCAAGTGGCTACCTACCTAGGTAAGGTAAGGTACCTTATTTTGCTATCGCAGCAACGTGACCTGCCTGGTCAGGTTCAAATTATGAATGATGAAATGAGCGAGCGATGAGAATCAGGAGGACACCAGTACTGGTTTGAACTCACTGGATAGTACTTGGAGCTATGTTGTTATTTCTCGCATAGGGCGACGTAGTTTTAAGTGTCCTTTTCGGTTGATATTTCTTAGGAATCTGAACCAGTCACGAGCTATGATCACTACCGTATCCTATAACTCTCTTTCATCTCTTTGAGAGCTTATATAGGAGCGTATCTCGTTTTTCTGTCTTCGGGTAGCCCCTTACATTGTGAGTTGACTCTCGTTAATATTGCGCGTGCGGTAGCCCATATTTCTTCTGTTTGCTTCATGGCCCAGACAGTCGTGCCTACGACCCAACTGGGTAGATTCAATCGATGAAAAACATAATCAGATCAATGGTACTTTCTAGAGGATGGCAATCTTCGTTGTCCCGAACTTTCTGGATACCACTTAGCTTGCTGTGAGGTTGGAACGGTCTGGTTCGATGGTTGTAGTTTCGTGATTCCTGAGGGTAACATTAGACGACAAGATATATTTCCGGGGAAAACCTAGGTCTTTTGGAAAGTGCACAGTCTTTATAGCAGTATCCGCATGCTCTGAGTTGTCGTGTTAAGATGGGCCCGCCTTTATTACCTGCCTTATCCGAAAATCCTTTTTACCTATATCTTTTGATAGTAGAGGCCAGAGCACAGTTTTGGGTATCTCTAAACTCGCAATTATTCTATATGTACGATTGTAAGACCACAGACCTTCGGGTATCTGGTAGTCGACACTAGGGACTAGCAACTCGATCCTCGCTAACAGTTCAAGAGATATAGCCGCTCCTAGAACGAACCTCACCACTGTTGCTTTATTATATACTTTTCTCCTTCTAGGTTTTTGTATATATATATATATAGTAGTGATTAAAGAATCTACTATAGTGTCTTTGGTTCTTTACAGTGTAGGGATAGGGTTGTATAGCTCTCGAGTAGCTTACCCCCTCGCTGTCGAGAGCTCAAGGCACTAGTTCCTGCCAAACACCTTGTTTGCCTTTTTGAAGACAGATAAACGCACAATTAGAAGAGTCCTATACTAATATTAAGAGGGACTACATATTTATTAATCGTGCCCCTAGGGAGATCAGGGAGGCCCACAAGAAACTCGGCTAGCAGCTTAAGGCTGCGATAAAGAGCTTAGAAGATAACCTCTAGACCGAACATAGGAAGGATTACTTCTATACCCATAATGAAATGATGAGGAGGCAGTTGAATAGGCTGCTGGACGAAACAGCGGAGGAGGCTGCTCAGCCTGACATCGAACATCAGCTCGATCAGCAGCACAGATACAATTGCAGCTAGTCCTTTGCGATCTGTCCAAAAACCTTAGTCCTCAAGCCATCCTCGCTCGAAAGGTCTCTGCAATAAATCTCCAGATTACGCTCGCCTCGCGAAAAGAACTCATAACCCGCCAGCGACGATATAATAATCCGTAATTTATAGGAGTGCGATAAACCGAGTTAAGATGTCATCAAATATACACTATCGTCGCCTGCTCGAAGAATTCCTCATCGAAAATTGCGCTTTCCATTTCAAAGCTCATCTTTCCCAACTGATATAGCATCCTCAATACTCCTTTGCTCCGGTTCTATAAGAGGTGCTATTTGCTCATTCACACTGTTCGTGCTGATAAACCTAGCCAGCTGCTCCTCAGTCAGAAGCTCGAAGAATGTACCATCAAAATGCACCTCTTTGTTATCACCAGCACGAAATAATATAAGCGTAGGGTACCCAGTAATTCGCACCGGCACATCATTAGAATTGACATCAATCTTCGCCAACGTAACCTTGTCTGACATCTTGAGTTGAGCATATCTTTGTCCTAGCTTATCCATAACTTTGTGCAGACTATAAATCTCAATTAGCCATGCCTGAGCCTGCAATATCTTCACGAGAGGAAATGCTTACGCCAAGCAATAGTCGCACCATGGGACGGAGAATTCGACAAGTACATCTCTTGACTCGTCCATAACACAATCTTCGAAGTTACTGCCTACCAAAGTAACCACGGATGACGACTCCGACCATAGCTTTGGCGCCGGATCCGATCTTATAACGGGACTCAGTGAGTTGTTGAGGTATTGCTGGACAAAAAGTTCTATGGAGATAGAAGAAAGGGTATCTACTAATAACGGATATACTCGGGTATTCTGTACATCTTCAATTGCAAATCCGCGAGTTGAGGTTTCTCCGAGCCCGAGGACTTGTCCTCTCTTGGGATAATCATTGGTGTTCACTGACAAGAACGTGATTTTATCTTTGGTTCGGTTGGCTAAAGGATAGAGTTGCTCTACTAAGTCGTATTTGTCGTCCAGGGAATTGGTGAGAATGAAAGCAAGTGGCTTGCCAACCTTTAAGAAACTTTTGGTCAACCACTAACCACTCCAAAAGATCAAATATGTTAAAGTAGAGATATACGTACCTCTACAAGGTCATCATACAAAATTGGGTCCATCTCTTGGATCAAGGGTGTGGTCGCTTTTTCCAGGAAGTTCTCAATGGCTTCCTGTGAGAATGAGTCTGTGTGGATTGTTTTTTTATCGTCAAAGGGCTTGTAAACAATAATAGATGGCAGAATAACGCTTTCTAACTTGGCAATGCACTTAAATGTACACACAGCGAAGGCGTAATGCGTGCGCAACTTCGCGGCAACTGTTTCAAACGTGGCGCGCGAAGCAGCATCATCAGCTTCAAGAAGAGCTACAACAGTGATGGCAGTGGGATCTTGGAGATCATAGCCTTTCAGGCCTGCAAGCTCCGCGACAGCTGGGCTAAATTGTCTCTTCATGAAAGATGTAACCCTATCTCAAAATAGTCAGTCTAACGAAATGATTGGCCTAAGGGGTTAAAGATATTCATACGATAGACTGTTCAAGCGTTCACGATACTTGGTCATTGTACTATCACCGACTGAGAGCATCAAAGCAGGGACAGCAAAGATGTGATTTTCGTCACAGATGACCGGATCCTCGGCACAATTGACCATGCCGATAATAACTTCCATGTCTAGTTGTGTCTGCTCCAGCTCATTCACTGCAACATCACACGCTGCGCATCCTCCAGCAGTGAAAAGGACCAAACTTGATCCCCCATTTGATACAAACTCCTCATATCTCGTCTGGTCGATGGAGGTGAGAGCTGCGCTAGCAAGGGACGTCAGAAGACACAAAATGAACACAGAAGCAAACATTCTGATACAACACACAAATGATTTAGAATAGAGATAATGAACTATGTAAAATAAAAAGTATCTCAAAGTGGAAAGAGGCGATGGAATATTAGTTACGTATAAATGAGGGCGGTTTGAATTTTTTGTTTATCATGAGGACCAATTCTTCGTCGTTTGACAACAATTCTGTACTTCTGGTTGCATTATTCTCTCAATACGAGCTTCCATCCATAGAACTTGATTCCTAGAGAGCTTCCCAGCGCTTGAATCACCCACGTGTGAGAGTGAAACTTTCCAGACCCTAGTCGAGGCTGGCGCGAATTCTCCCGAGCCAGAAAGTTTCTACTATCAATGGATCAATTACTAAACTGCTTTAGGTTCCGAGTATGAATATGCTTTAGCTATAAAGTATTTAAAAATTCTTTGAAGATCTGTTACATAGCGCGTTGTTGATCATTTAGGTTTCACAAGTGGCACAGGATCAAGCATACTTTTTAAAAACAAACGTTATTCAGTGTGCCGTATGCGGCAATCTTAGTCGAGGCTCTTAGTTAAGTTATTCTTCGAGATCAAGTCTAATCTTAAACCTTTACTTACTATCCCTCCCCCTAAACAAACGTTAAAGGTGGACTTTTGTAGGCTAAATACCTGGAAGGCGTATTCTAACTAGTAGACGACTCTAGCGATACTTAGAGCACGAGCTAAATTCTGGTTAACTATAAAAGTAAGGGTAGCCATAGAAGGTTCGAGATAGAGTTAAAGCCTTACTTAAGGCTTAGTATTAGTATCCTTATTAGATAGACGCCTTAGCTAACTACCTATCCCTTCGTCCGCTGAGATACTGCCTAAGCTAGCAGGGAATAAGAAGTAGGGGTTTCAATTGATCACATCACTGAACGATAGTTGAGCCTCATCTCCCGGCGAATAAGAAGGCCTTGTTCAGCTTCCCCTGCTAGCGCAGGCAGTGTGACGAAGGCATACGAGGTCTAGTTTTCATAAGGTTTAACGTTTGTTTAAAGGGGGGATAGTATAAAAAAGAGTAGCATCGCTTGTTTTAAGTTTAAATACTTTTATTGTGCCAGTAGAGCCAATGAGATATTTCCACTATTAGCAGGAGCAAAGCGAAAAGTTATCTAATGAGTTTCTAAGCGAATGTGTAAGGAGCTTCATTATCTGCCGAATAGCAGCCCTCGTCTGACTACCTGTGCTAGCGGTGGAAATGTCTCGGCGGACGACAGGATAAGTCCTCATTTGCTAGTGACATCTCTGTGCGAACGATCTTAGCAGCAATAGAATACGAACAAACTCAAATAGTCAAGCACGCATTGAGGTTGAAACTAGTCTATGGCTGACAATAGGTATTTTTTACGCTCATTAGGTACCGACGCCGGCCGGTGTGGAGCTAGTTGCTACCTGCAGACCAGCGGGCGGTTCCCCGAGGTTATCTACTGGATAGCAAGTATGAATTGAAATCGATTCTGTAGCTTATTGAACTAAATAGGTTCATCACCAAGAAAGAATGTATCCGCTTCAACCGCAATAACTACAACAATGACTCAGGTAACAAGTTTGCCCAAACCCTGCTTGCTTCCGCACCACGTGCCTCCTCTCAACCTTCTGAACCTCAACCAGCCAGTTCTTCCTCTCCAAGTTCCCTAGACTCTGGATCCCAAGTCATCAGGGGAGACCCCCTTGACGACACGCAATCTTGATTCCCTTGTCGAAATAGACCCCAACACCAGGAATGAAGCTGGCAAGGGTTTCGGCAATGGCACCAGCCTTTCCACAACCACCTCCCCCGTTACTATTGCTTTCAGACGAGAATCGTGCCTGATAAGCGTCGGCTCGGAGTGATCCATTGTCATTATAAACGTTGATTCGGACAATGGAAGGGATCTTGTGACCCCATTGAAAACCCTGACATTCCAACGGACCCGCGCCTCTACAGCGGCCATTGCTAGGGCACAATACACGGGCCCTTGGCCCACAGGCGGCCCCCGAGTTGCCAGGAACTGATTCCTGCCATGTAAATCCAGAGCAATGATTGTAGACAGGGTAAGACTGCTGCTGACCCGCAACTTCAACAGTGCGCCACATTGACTTGATCAGGGCGTCGCGCATTTGCCAACCGTTGACCCGGCCAACAGCGCCCCACTGGCCGTCGAGGATGACCCGTGTTGAAATTTGAGGCTTCTGATGGTCGCTGTTGCAATTCCAGTTGAAGACCTCACGAGTGACGTCGGAGAGACCGCCACGCGAATCTGACATATCGTACATCCTGTTCCAAACACTCCAGAAGGTGTCCAGGTCACCGAGGTCAACCAGTGCGTCGGTAAACGATGCAGTCATTGAGAATTTCGCAGAAATTATGGTGGCGAAGGCTAAGCAGAGGGCTGAGGTGAGCTTCATGATGTAGTTGATAGGAACTAGGAAGATGGCAAGTGAAATATGCTCTGGTGGACTGACTTGTTGACGAGTAAGTCACGGAGAGCGAGGTTGGAAGCATACTTAAGCATTATTGAATCCTGAGCTCAGGAGCCACAGAGTTTGCATAAAGATGTGGATTGTAGGGAGACTACGGAGGCCTTCCCCACGCCTGACTTTGTCTACGTGCCTCCCTTATAGCCGATAATTGGACGTCTCCTTTCCATGCTTTCTTCTAATCAAATAAGTCTTTTTAAAATAGTTGCCTGCAGGGTTTAGAGTATCATCCATTGTTCTCAAGGTATCACCCCTCAGTCTAGACTTGTAGCTCATGCAACAAACAAGGCAATCTCAGCTGGTGTCTTAGACACTCGAAATAAACTTTGTAATATTGTAGAAGACTTCTAAAGAATCACGCGATACGACGATAGTCGGTCGATGTAAAGTTTTCTGCGGAAATTGGTTGATCTGAGACGAATAAAAGGAAAACGTGCCAACTCTCTTATCTCAAATAATGTCGGCGAGCCCGTGAAAGAGAGATCAAACAGGCCCGAACAGACCAGTGTTAACACTAAATAATTTCGACTATTCGAGATGTGAATATATAAGTCATTGATTCTCTTATCTCTTTATAGTGTTCCATCCGAGTAAGTCGATAAAGCTTCGAAATAGACATTGTCCCCGAGTTCCTGAAACTTATCCTCACTTCAAAGTACAGCTTGCCACCATGACCCCTCTGTCTATTGCCTCAGTCCTTCTGGCTGCTGTTATCAGCGCTTCTCCTGTCGTTGAGATCCGACAAACCTTCATTGATACACAATCAATCAAAACCCTTCAAATTACGAATATTGATTGGCAACGAAGCAACAGCACGATCAACGCTGTTCAATTCCAGGCTACATTACCTGATACAGGTGAAACATGGAGATGTACTAGTTCTGATAGTGCCAATACTGAAGGATTCGTTCCGGTATGAGGCATATCATGCCCCTATATGTGATGTTACACGGCTAATGCGTAGACAGACGAATATTGATCGCTGTGCCAAGGGAAGTCCCATGACTTTCACCTGGGATGACAATCATCTGCGCATTTGGTTGACGACTGGGGATAAATCTTATGCCGGCAGCGTCGAAATTAGCCCCCTCGGCGCCGACAAAAAAGTGGCGTCCTTGAATGAGATTGAGGTCACGCCAACTACTACTCCCAATGTAGATTCATAAGCATCTTCATCGCTTTTGCTATCAACTTTTATATGCAGTCACGTATCATGAATCGGGGGATTGGGCTTTTGTATGCTAGTTATTAACGGTTATTAATGGAAAGAACTGTGAATCGTTACTACATGATGATTACAGGTCACAGTGCTTCTTAGTAATATCCAAGATGCAAAAGTTCAAATACAGGTCCAAAGTCTGTCAGAGTGTGCCTACTGCGAAAGCGTGAAGGATGTTGTTGTTGTTCTCCTATCCCTTTAAGTGCGGTAAACATAGCTATCCAGGCCATGCCCCTAAAGAGAGTTACTAGAGTAATAATCACTATAGTATTATTATAAAGGGAAGAGCACTATACTTAGTAAAGCTCAGGCCCTAACAGAGCTATAGACTTACTAAGCTAAGGACTAGATTCAGGCTTATCTATAGCGCTCTCTAAGCTATATTCTAAGCCGCACTTAAAGGGATAGTCTTATAATCTGATCTAATAAGAATATATATATATATAGTCACTTTAACTAATCTTAATCTACTAACTTTAAAAAAGAACTTATTATTAGTCCGTAGACCTATACTATAGAAATATAAGAGGTAATCAGGGGGTATAAGTAATCTTAGTTAAGAGGTAGACCCTTTTCGGATATAAACCGGGAGTTATTTAGGAAGTAATATATATTCTAACCCTTAGATATTCTTTATAATATATACTTTTAAATACCTTTAAACTAAACCTTAGATTTTAATATATATTAATATATACTTATTGTTTATTTATTAGTATAATACTAATACTAATTAGTAGTTATCTTATACTATAGAATAAATAAGTTAAATATAATAGAATTAACTCTTAAGATAAAACACTAAATCTACATTAGTAAACTCTTATTAATAAGTAGAGTAAGCCTTATAAAATAACTAATAAACTCTTATTAATAAGTAAAATAAGTTCTATATTACTAAAGAATAATAGCTACTTTATAATAGTTATTAAGATATCCCTAGAGTTATTTAGTTAGATATTTTTAGAATATAGAAAATATCTCTAGAATACTTATAAATCGCTTTTAATATAATAATAACTCTAATAGACTAAGTTATAGAATAATCTAAAGTAAAAGTTAAAAGTAGTGAAACCTTAATATAAAATTGAATACTAGCTTTTAAAGTACTTTTAATAAGTCTTATAAAAACTAATATTAATAGTTTAGTTTAAAGATTTATAAATTATTCTATAAGGAAAAATATCTAAAAAAAGATACTATTCTAAGACTTCTAAGAGTACTTTCTAAATTAAATAGTAAAAGACTTTAAGAAATTAATAAATAATTAATAATAGAAACTATAGAACTATCTCTTAAAGAACTAAGTCTATATTTAATATTAGAAAAAACTATATATTACTAACGCTTTAATAATAGTAGTTTAAGTATAAGAGAATACTTAGCTAAATAAATAAGAAACTAAGCTATTACTAGATATATAATTTAGCTCTTTTTTAAATAAGATTTAGAATTATAATTAAGAAAGGAACTAAATATAATAAATACTTTATTAAAACTCGCTTAATATATTATCTTTATCTATAGAGATTATAGCTTCTAATAATATAAAAATAAAGTATTAGAATAGCTAAGGGAGAATATAAATAAGCGATTTCTTAAGAGGCTAAGTTTTATTTTAGTATCTAAGTACTTAAAGACCTTTATATATTAAACTCTTTATAAAAAGTAAAGATCTCTATAGAGCCTCTTCTCTTATTAATATTAAAAGAGAGGAATTATTTCTAATAAAACTAGAGAGATAATATACTAATTAGCCTTTAGTATAAAAACTAAAAGATAATAATTTACTAGATCTTACTTTAGCTCTTATAATATACTTAAGAGATAAAATATTACTCTTTTTTTAAGTACTTAACTAAAATAGTTTATATTTAGAACTTATTTAACTAAGTTAGTATATTATAGAACTAATCTCTTTAGAATAGGTAAAATTACTTATAAGTCTTAATAATATATATACTAAGGAGCTTTAATATAGTAAAACTAGAGATTATCTTAATAAGAAGCTTTATATCTTTATTAATCTTTACTAATAAGTATTAGTAGAGTTTATACTATAATATAAGGTATTTCTATTTATACTTTAGGATAAAGCTTTATTATACTACTACTAGTACCTCTAGAATAAGAGGTACTTATTTAATAAGCTAATATAAGCTACTTATAATAATTATAAGATAAAGGAGAGAGCTAATTAATACTTAAGTCGATAGTTTAGTATAACTTTTTCTATATTTTAAAATAAGCTACTTTAGAAAGGTAAATTAGCTCTAATATAGTTAAAAAGCTTTATAAGAGAGCTATAAAGTATCTAATTAGGTCTTAAGGATAATAGTATATAAAATAATAAAATATTATATAATAAGCTAGTATAAGGAGTTTTAGGGAATCCTTTATTTAAAATAGCTTTATTTAAGTTACTTCTAATATTTCTTATACTAATAAATAGCTTTTATATAGCTATAAGTATAAAGATAATATAAGATTTCGGATCTAGATCTAGGAGATATTCTAAGAATAATCTAAATTAGTTCTAAGTATATATTATAAATAATAATACTTACTACTTAGATTAAAAGATAAAGTTCTTCTTAGGAAATAAATAAGAGAATAGATTTAAAGTATTCTTAAGTTATATAAGATATATTATCTATAAGAAGATAAACTACTATAGTAATTATTACTCTAACTAAGAATAAGTAGCCTTAAAAGTAAGGTATTTTATAAAAAAGAAAGCTAAAAGTGTTAAACTTATAGAAAAGTCTTATAAAGTATATATAATATACTTTAAGAGTAAGAAGTTAGACTCGGAGCTTAATCAGGACTAGTTCAGAGGACTTAGTAAAAATTATAAAAAGGATAATTCTAATACTTTAATAAAAGATAATAATAACTATTCTGATAATACTAAAGTAAATATAAAAGATAAAGATAAAGTAATATACTTTATTATTATATTCTATATATTAAAAATAGAATATAATATAAGGTAAGTTCTCTAGTATCTTAAGGAGCGTAGAGCTATTTATATCCTTTAGAGTATAATTAAATAACTTAAGCTTAAGATAATAATAGAAGCTTTTATTACTTAGTAGTTTAAGATAGTTTTTTAAGGCTTTTTAATTAATACTAAAGTATTAAAGAGAAATATAAGTAATCTTAATTAGTTATAAGCTTTATAATAAATCCGGAAAGTTATATTTAATAAAAGAGAAGTAAGATATTATTAGATCTAATTCGGAACTAGTATAAGAGTTATATTAGGAACTATTATAATTAATATACCTATTAAATAAATGGAATTTATAATTATAGATATTAATATACCATTCTTAATATACTTTTAATAGTTTAATTAACTAAGGATTTACTATAATAATCTTACTAATACCTTAGTTTAAGGGGATATTAAGCACTTAATTATCTAAAAAAAAGTAAGTATATATAGCTTCTTTTAGATTAATATTACTAATTATTAGAGTATTCAGATAGAAATTTATTAGCTTATTATCTTATAGAAATAGAAATTTATAGACTCTATAGGCGATTTAGATACTTATTAGTATAATATTTATAATATCTTTTAGATTAAGTAAGTTATATACTAGATTCTAATATTATATAATAAGTAAAGAAAATATATAAGTATTACTAGAAGTATATAAACACTTTATATTAGTTCTAATTTAGACTCTATAATAATATTAACTTTAACTATATAATTTATATTAATATTATAATATTTAGCGATTAATATACTTTTTATATAGTTAATAAAGTAATAAGATTCAGGGTAATAAAATAGCTCTGAAAAGAGTCCGGTTTAATATCTACTTAATTTATATTTAATATATATAAGACTATATAAATCGATATATATTTAGAACTACTTAACTTCGTAGTTTATAACTATAGAATGAACTTTAACTCTAAGGAGTTTCGAAGCTTACTTAAGTTAGTTAGAACTATTCTTAAACTTATTCTAGTAGAAGTATATTATTCTATTAATAAGATAGAGAAATATTACTATTTATTCTACTATACTTATAAAATTATTATAGAAAAATATAAAGATCTTAATACTAAGAAACGCTTATAAATAGTTATTAAAGCTATAAATAATATAACTAAACTTAATAGCTTAGTTCTTATATTACTAGTTTTCAGTATATATCCTAAGATAATAAAATTAAACCCTTCTAATCTATTAGTTAAATAATAAGTAGTTATTATTAATAAAGCTATAAAAGCTATATATAAGCTTTATATTATATATAAAGTTAATAATATATTAACTACTTAAAATAGCCTTAGAACTACTTATATTTATAATCTTCGGATTAATAATAAGGTTCTTATTTAAAAGGAAAAATCTAAGAAATAAGAGAGACCTTATAATTTCTTAGGGATAAATAATAAGGATTATAAAATTAATATAAAGAATAATAGAATATATATATTCTATTTTACTTCTATTTAACTATTTATTATAGATAATTCTAATATTAAGCTATAAAAAGAAAAGTTACTAGAGAATTCTTAATATTAAGAATAACTAACTTAAAAGATATCTGAATTAGTACTAAAACTTATTTATATTAAGATCCTATTTATAAAGTAAATTAATAGACTACTAATAATTAATAACAATTATAATACTAAGATATATATAATATATAATACTAAGGTATTCTTAATAGAAAAGAAAATAAGGGATTAAGAGCTTTTTATTTAGTTATAATCAGAGAGTAAGATTATAACTTTAAGACTACTATTCTAAAGATCCTATTAAGTAAGATATAAAGCTTTTATTAAAAAAGGTATTTTTATCTTTATTTATAAAGATAACTCTAGAGTAAAAAGCTAGTATATCTTTAAGTCTAAAATAGTAGATAAAGTTAAAAATTAAAAAAAAATAAGCTTATATAAGAAATCTAAGCTTATTATTTAATACTTTAATAATAAAAGTAAATAAAAGATCTTAACTTAATTACTAATAATCTAATAAATTAATTAAAGACTTATTATATACTTAGCTATAGTACTTAGCTATTTAGAATATATCTAAAATAA